GCGCAGGTGAGTGGGGACAGCGCGGCTCCGCTCGGCCACGGGCTCTGGGGTCGGGGCGGGCGGGACCCGAGGCGGGCTTGGCCCACCCTGGGGTCAGGCGGGTGGGGGGCCCCTGCGCCCGCGTTCCCAGCTCTCGGCCGCCTTTGTCTCAGCTGCCCCTCAGCATGGTCGCCGCCGCTCATCAGGTCGCCCTGGTGAGCTTCCTACCACCTTAGCTGTTACCCGAGCTCTCACTGCCCGTCTCCCTCCTCCCCATCCCATCCCTCTGTCCGTGGCCTCAATTCGTGGGCAGGTTTCCATCTCTGCGTGACGCTTCCTCCATTTCCAGGGCTCGGTTCCGCTCCCTATCAGGGTGTTTATTTCTCCAACTCCGGCCAGACCTGATTGTGACCGAGACTTTGGCCACCGCGGAACCGGTGCTGGCTGGGAAGTTGTGTGTGGGGTGGTGGTGGTGTGTGCGAGGGACGCTGAATGTATGAGTGGGCTTGCCTTCCTCAAGAGGTGTGTGGGCTGGATGTTTACATGTGGGAAGGAATTTGAATGTCTGAAGTTTTGTGTCTGGAGTCCCAAGCGGGGTGTGTGTGTGTGTGTGTGTGTGTGTGTGTGTGTGGCAACGCTATGGTCCTCTCTGTATGGAGTTTCATTTAGGAAGGGGAATTGTGCAGGGTCTGGAAGGGGTGTGTGGGCTTGTGTGTCTGAAGAGTTCTGTGTGTGTGGCTCTGTGTCTGTGCGGTTGTATTTGTGTCAACTGCACACAAAGGTGTGTGAGGCTGTGTGTTTGAAGGTGTGTGTGATATGTAATGTATGTGATTTCTCTCCTCTCTTTCCTTCCCCTGCTCACTCCTCTGGCTAGCAGAGTGCTGAGATAAAATGTATAGGAAGCATACATTTGCTAACCAAGCTTGCTTCAGTTTTAGGATGTTAGGAGCCCTTCCTTTCTTTCCTTTGGCTCCAAGGGTGGGGTGGCCGGCACATCTCATCACATCTGAGAGTCTGGAGGTTGGGGGAACCAGGTGGGAGACACATCCTCAACTCCTGCAGAGACTGGGGACACTAGAAGGGGCCACTTCCCGAGCAGCAAGCCTCAGAAACAGGGTCAAGAGAATGCCTAGGACCAGGAGAGACTGGAAAAGAGAGAACCCAAGGTTCAATGTTTGTCTCTACCCTCACCTGTGTGTCTGTTGGGTTTCTGCTTTTTATCAACCACAGTTGACATCTATTTTGTGCCCACCAGGCACTGTTCTAAGTGTCATGTGAATTGGGCCATCTAAGCTGCACAGAAAGTGACCAGTTCCGGCAAGGTGGAGGGAGATTTGAAATTAAGAGCTCAGGTATGCTCTTCTGTTAGGCCAGGGGCTAGCAAATTTTGTCAGTAAAGGGCCTGAGAGGTTGTATTGCGACCCATATAATCTCTGTCCCAACACCCCAGCTCAGCTGTTGTAGTATGAAAGTAGCTGTAGACAACACGTAAGAAATGAATGTGGCTCTGTGCCAATAAAACTATTTATAAAAGCAAGCAGTGGGCCGGACTTGGCCATGGGACTATGGTTTGTCCATTCCTGCACTATTATGTGCTACTTCTTGTAAGGAAGGGAAAGGAAGGAGACAAAACTAGTTCTGGACCTTCTGTGCCTAGTTTGGATCTCAGCTGAACATTCCCTTGGGACCCACGGGTAATTCTGTGCTACTGCTTGGTGACTGGGAACATACATTCTGGAGAGAGGGAGGAATTAGGAGTTTCCTGTATAGTTTGTGGTCCCACGTCTGGGATTTTTCACAGCCAGGTGAGAAGCAGCACTATGGTTTCAAAGTGATGGACCCATTTGGAGCAGGACCCCAACTGGGGTTTGGCATTGACAATGGGGGCTTGGGCCTGGAGGAAGCAGGCCCTGAAAAGTTGAGGCAGGTGTCCCATCCTTTGGATATGGGGGGATCAGAAAAGGGCAAGGAAGACAGTGACCCCAGAAAAGTCACTGCACAACCAGTGGTAGAAAAAAAAATTCCAAGGATCTACCTATTGGTGGAACTGAGACGTCTCCCAGATTCCCAGACTCCCAGCCCTGACCTGGGTGAAGTTCAGCACAGGGACAATATTGACTGCCTTCCTCTGGCTTGGAGAGTTTTTTCTAAATCCAGTGTATTTGTCAGGAAACAACACACTCAAAAAGCAGAATTGGAAAGAGCTTAAGTTAAGGACTATTTACAAGGATGTGAGCAAAGTTAAGGGAAACCAGTAAGGTTGATGTAGTAACACTCAGGGACCAGCAAGAGTGGGGGTGGGGGGGGGGGGGGGGGGGAAGGGACCAGGAGGGAGGCAGGGAGGGAGCAGGACAGGGCCAGAGCCTTGGCTGCAACAAAGGATTTTTTAGTTGAAACATATTTGACATATAACATTGTATAAGTTTAAGGTGTGTACCATGTTGTTTTGATACATTTATATATTGTAATATGGTTATCATTGTAGCAATAGCACCTCTATCCGGTCAAGGGAGCCAAGAACACCCAATGGGGAAAGGATAGTCTCTTCAACAGGTGTTGGGAAAACTGAGTAACACATACGGAAAAATGAAATTGGTGATGAGCACTGGGTGTTATACGCAACTATTGAATCATTGAACACTACATCAAAAACTAATGATGTACTATACAGTGGCTAACTGAACATAATAAAAAAAAATGAAGTTGGACCCCTATCTTCCACTACTCAGAAAAATTAACTTGAAATGGATCTGAGCCTTAAACGTAAGTCCTGATACCATAAAACCCCTAGAAGACAAAGTAGGGAAGAATTCTGCTCCTTGACATTGGTCTTGGCAATGATTTTTTGCATGTAACACCAAAAGCATAAACAAAAGCAAAAATAAACAAGTGGGACCATTTCACACTAAAAACCCTCTGCACAGTAAAGGAAACAACAAAATGAAAAGGAACCTACAGAATGGGAGACATTTTTTGTAAACCATGTATCAGATAAGATACATGTAAAGGAAACAACAAAATGAAAAGGAACCTACAGAATGGGAGACATTTTTTGTAAACCATGTATCAGATAAGAGGTTAAAATCCTAAATATATAAAGAACTCCTACAACTCAACAACAACAACAATCTGATTAACAAATGGACAGAGGAACTAAATAGACATTTTTTCAGAGAAGACATCCAAATGGCCAATAGATACAGAGGATTGACAGGAGCTGTGGCCTTAGGCAGAGGAACACAACCACGGCCAAACAGGGGTGTGGCAGGAGGAATGCTCCTCCTATCGGCCGTTCTTCTGCTGCTTCCGGATAGTCAGACCAAAAGGGAGCCAGCAGGCAAGGGATCCTGGGTAATGCCACCCCTGGTGGTCAGCCGTTTGCCCCCCGAGTGAATCTACAGGGTCAAGAGTATTCCCAGGATGCCTGGAATGTGGGCACTGTCACACTTTTTTTTTTTTTTTTTGCTGTGAGATCATTGCAGGCCAGGCTGCCTATCATTCAAGAATAGGATGTCCAGTGCCCAGGGCCCATGATACTTTTAGGGATCCACAGAAATGTTTTAACTTATTATTTTATTTTTTGTTTTCATTTTTTTTTTTAAATCAGAAGAAAGAACTACACTTTTAGATCAAAGAAAATGGTTGAATGTATAAGGTTAGGTGAAAGTCACATAACAGAAACCCAACCATTTTAAAGTGGTGTCAGTGGCATTTAGTGCATTCTCAATGTTGTGCAACCATTCCCTCTATCTAGTTCCAAAATACTATATTCATTTTTATAACAATTCAGTTGTAAAAATATAACTTAATATTTTAATATGTATATGTATATATTTTAATGGAGGAAGGAGTCCACAAAAATAAAAGTTCCTCTGGCCCATGAAAGTCACATTTCCAAGCTGCCTGATACATGTAAGGTGTTTAGTTGATAAAGGATAGGCAGGTTTTTGTTTTTACATACATTTCATTTAATGTGTATTAAAATATAATTTGCATTTCAAGTAATGATCTTTTTTCCATTTAAGATTTATTTATTTATTTATTTGAGAGAGAGAGAATGAGAGACAGATAGCAAGAGAGGGAAGAGGGTCAGAGGGAGAAGCAGACCCCCTGCTGAGCAGGGAGCCTGATGTGGGACTCGATCCTGGGACTCCAGGATCATGACCTGAGCCGAAGGCAGTCGCTTAACCAACTGAGCCACCCAGGCGCCCCCAAGATATATTTACTTAAATAAATAAATAAGGTTACAGGAATGCGGTCAAATTTAGAGGAGACACAAAAGTCTGAAGTTTGGGAAACACCCAGAGAGATTCTGAACATCACATTTCCCTTCAAAGATGGATCCTGAAGAGTCACTGGGGTCAAGGATTGTCACCATTTCCTTCCCAAGGGATCCCACCTCCAGCCGCTCTGCTCACCTGAGCACTCATGCAGGGCACTTGTATTTATCGGGTACTCACTGTTTACCAGGCACCTGCTGATTTTGTCGTTGTGGAAAGGCCACTTGTCAACACCACCAGGCCAAACAGCAAACCATATTAATTTGGGGGGCTAAACCCAGGGTGCCTTGTCTGGGGCTCTGCATGTCCAGTTGGCGCTGAGCAAAGGCCGGCCAGTTTGGTTTGTGAGCTGGGACAGCCCCCCGTTGCTTGTGAGGATATGAAATAAGGAGGGCTCTGGAGTCAGGGAATGGCAAAAGCGTCATGTCCGGGAACGGATTCTGGAGATCTGGACCCTTTTCTGCCAAGACGCAACCCCTCAACCCCAAGCAGTGTTCTCAGGTGTCCCAGCACAGCCTCACCCCAACAGGTGGACCTTGCCCCTCCCCTGTCTGGATTCTCGGCGTTCCTCGCCAGCTTCCTCCACCCTTTCCCCTGTCCCCACAGCCGCCCTCTGTCTTGTCCCTTACCAGAAGGCCCCTCTGTCCCCCGCAGATAGACCATGAGCAGCCACGGGAACAGCCTGTTCCTGCGGGAGAGCGGCCAGCGGCTGGGCCGCGTGGGCTGGCTGCAGCGGCTGCAGGAGAGCCTGCAGCAGAGAGCGCTGCGCACGCGCCTGCGCCTACAAACCATGACCCGTGAGCACGTGCTGCGCTTCCTGCGCCGGAACGCCTTCATCCTGCTGACCGTCAGCGCTGTGGTCATTGGTGAGCTGGCTGGGGGGCGGGGACCTCGGAGAAATGCCCTGCACGCGCACATCGTCACTCCGCCCGCTCATTCTCACCTGCAAGAGCGCTTGCCACCACCCTTCGGTGACCCAAACCACTCCACAGAGCCCTCCTTTTGGTCCTAGGGGTCAGCCTGGCCTTTGCCCTGCGCCCGTACCAACTTACCTACCGCCAGATCAAGTACTTCTCTTTCCCCGGAGAGCTTCTCATGAGGATGCTGCAGATGCTGGTGCTGCCACTCATTGTCTCCAGCCTGGTCACAGGTGAGAGAGCCCAGGCCAGTGTTGGCCTCCGAGACCCATCCCGGAGCCCCAGCTCAAACCTGGAGCCAAAGCTATCGCAAGCATGGGATCACCTCTCTATCTTAGGACCTCAAACACGAAGCCTGCGCTTAGCCCCGAGTTCTTGGCCAAAGCCCAGGTCTTCATCAGACCAGGTTCCAGACTCCATATGACATATGCCACTTATCTCAGTAACTCTACCATGCTTTTCCGTGTAGATAAAATACCAGCCTGCCAGGAGCTTACCATCATCCAAAGGTGAAAGAAAGGCTGTGATAGGGCAGCCAAGGAAGATAGAATGGCATCAGTGGTCAGGGGGTGGGATGTGGATGAAGGTATTGAAGGTGACAGGATGGTGGGTGGGGGCTGGGGTAGAAATAGGGATGGGTTATGCAGAGGTCAGCAAATTTTTTTCTGTAAAGGGCCAGATAGTAAACATTTTCAACATTGGGGGCCATACCATTTCGGTTGTAACTACTCAGTTCTCCTATGGTAGTGCAGGAACAGCTGCAGACTCATCTGTAAACAAATGGGTGTGGTTGTGTTCCAATACAACTTTATTTACAAAAACAGGCAGGGGGCCAGATTTGGCACCTAAGTGGTTGATTTGCAGTCTCCAGATTTGGGGACAGGGATGAAGATAAAGGCCTGAAAAAGTGGTTTCTTGGGTTGGATTTCGCAGAAGCAGAGCCTAAGATGGGGTTATTTGCACAAGTGTTATATCAAGGGATAGCATTCAAGAGAGACCCATGAGGAAGTGAGGGGAGCAAGATAAGGCAGGGAAAGAATCTAAGCAGAGATGTGGGTTCAGAAGAAGGCTGGCCTCTCAGCCTTATCCCATGGATAGCTCTGGAGCAGGAGTAATGCTACAGAATTGTTCTTCCCAACTCTGCCCTCACCCAAGTCAAAGGAGCTGGCCTTTTGAATCCCTGTACCAGGTAGCCTTTGGCTTTAGGTCTTCCATGGGGTATTTCTGGGCAAAGCAGGTTTTGTTCTGCTGAGGGCAGTTCTCCAGAGAAGGGGGCCACACAAACTGTTAGCAGCCAACAACGCAGCAGCTGAAGGGCAGGTGTGTTAGCCTGGTAAAGAGCTTTGGCTGGAGCACCAAAAGAAGTATCTATCACAGATAGCGTACAGTGAGGTGGGCTGGAGGGAGATATAATCTTGGGGTCAGTAGCAGGATGAAGAGTGGAATGAAGGTGATGCCATCGTGTAACGTAGGCATAAATGGAGGATGGGGTGGGAGTTGAAAAGTTTGGCTTGAAGTAGAGGGAAGGTAGGTGAAGTGGGGCTTGGGATAAAGGATGGGGTGGAAGGTGTATATGGAAACTAGAATAGGGGTAGAAGAATGATGAGAGGGGTCAAAGGATGGCAGTGTGGGTGCTGGGGTGGGGCACAGAAGGAGGAGATGCTTGGTGGAATGCTTGTTGAGCTGGTGGTATGAGGGAAGTAGAGCTGATGGATGGGACAGTGGGTGGTGGGGTGCAGATGGCGCTGCTCAGGGCTGCATCACCTGTCCTCCAGGTATGGCATCCCTGGATAACAAGGCAACAGGGCGGATGGGGATGCGGGCAGCTGTGTACTACATGGTGACCACGGTCATTGCTGTCTTCATTGGCATCCTCATGGTCACCATCATCCATCCTGGGAAGGGCTCCAAGGAGGGGCTGCACCGCGAAGGCCGCATTGAGACCATCCCCACAGCTGATGCCTTCATGGACCTGGTCAGGTGACGCCCTTTCTAATTTTGATGGGAACTCTGGCCCTAGATGCAAGAAGCCACACTCAAGGAGAGACAAAGGGGACAGGCTGACTCAGCCTGGAAATGCAACACCCAAGTTGAACCTAGTTTATTGGTACCCATTTTCTGCCCTGGAGCCTTGCACAAATTCTCTGAGAGTAGCTGACTCCTAGGGTACGATCTTTTGGCCCTTAGGCTCTGGACGTTTTAGCTGCATCTTGAGATGGGCTCAGAACAATGGTGTTTGATGTTCTCAAGCTCCATTGGAGGATGAATGATTCTTTTAAAGAAGCAAGATTTTGCCAGCCAGAATCAAGGCTTGCCAGGTTCTCCCCTAGTCATTGACTTGGGGGAAACCCAGATCTGAGGTCCATAAGTTATCTGTGTTTTTTGAGGCATCACTGACATGTGTGTGAATTCTATGGAAGGGCTCAGAGAGGCCTGGATTTGAGGTCCATCTGTACCCCTTATGAGCTGTGCAGCTTTGGGTAACTTCCATAAGTTCTCTGTGCATTGGTTTCTTTGTGCATAAAATGGGGACCTCAGTAGTGTTCACTTCTAGAGTTATTGTAGTGTTTAGATCATATCTGTAGGTAAGCACTTAGCTCAGTACCCGGTCTAGAGTAAGCATTCACTTGTTGGCTGCCATTATTACGGTTGGTACTGTTGCTATTATTCTTAACTATTATCACCCTGGACTCCTTCCCAAGGTCTAACCACCTCCCTTCCTCTGATGTTTTTCTGCAGAAATATGTTTCCGCCCAACCTGGTGGAGGCTTGCTTCAAACAGGTCAGGGGAAGTGCACAGTGTGGTCAAGGAGGTTTGGAGGGTGGGGGGAACTTGCTGCCAAGCGAGTGGTCCCGGGGTGAGGGATGGGAAGAAGGGCCCGCCAGAGCAATGGGCAGGGGTTTTTGGAAGAGTCTGGGAGAAAGAATGTACCTCGCATTGGTGGAATGATCAAGGGAGGATAACAGAAAACGACTTAGGCCAAGAGCTGCCTAGGGTGGTGCTGAAGGAGGAACCAGGGCATCTCACCATAGATGGTTGAAGAGAGAGGCCCCCAAATATGTTTGAGCAGGGAGCTTTGAAAAATGCAGAATCTATACTCATTCTGCCATGCATTAGTTGCTCACTCCTTCATTCATGTATTCCTTCACTCGTTCTTCTATGCATTGGTCAAGTCCTCTGAATAAGACTCTCCATGGGTGGCAACCAGGAGTTGGTGTTCTAAATAAACTTCTTCAGGAGATTCTGATGAATTGATTTTGGTCCCGATCTCTCCATATTTCAGTTCAAGACGCAGTATAGCACGAGGTTGGTAACCAGGACCATAGTGAGGACAGAGAATGGATCTGAGCCGGGCACCTCCATGCCTCCCCCATCCTCAATGGACAACGGAACTAGCCTCCTGGAAAATGTCACCTGGGCCTTGGGCACCCTGCAGGAGGTGCTGAGCTTCGAGGAGACTGTGCCTGTGCCTGGCTCAGCCAATGGCATCAATGCCTTGGGCCTTGTGGTCTTCTCTGTGGCCTTTGGGCTGGTCATCGGTGGTATGAAACACAAGGGCCGAGTCCTGCGGGATTTCTTCGACAGCCTCAATGAGGCTATTATGAGGATGGTGGGCATCATTATCTGGTAAGTGCTGGGCTTTGACAGGGCTGGCAGGTGATGGCACATGGGAAGGGTGGAGCCGGGACTGGGAAGTCAGGCTGTGGGGCAGCTGCTCAAGGGGCCATTGGGACCATTTGGCCAAAGTCATTCATTTATGTATTGGTTAATTTGCTCATTCATACATTCACTCATAAACTCATTCACAGACTCATCCACGCATTAATGAAGCCAGTGATTGATTGACTGATTGATTTATTCACCCCGCCATGTATTCATTCAAGCTCATTCTTTGGCCCACTCATTTATCTCCGCATTAGTTATTCCATTCACTCCCTCATGTATTCCCTGCATTCATTCACTTAATGGTGAATGGCCCACTCATTCATCTCCACATTAGTTATTCCATTCACTCCCTCAGTATTCCCTGCATTCATTCACTTAACACACTCATTCATTCACCCACCCATTCATTTGTGTCTCATTTGCTCATTTTCTTATTTGTTTATCCACTCACTAGTTATTCCTTAGTTGATGCATGTGTGCATCCATTTTACCATTCTCTATTCCTTTACCAATTCCTTCACTCATTCAGCAGACATTTTTCTGGGCTAACTTTGTCTGGAACACAGGGATACACTGAATTCAATCCCTATCCCCAAGAAGCTTATGAAGTCTTAGAGGAGACAGACAGACACTAGATAAATGCAATACAAGGTGGAAGGTTCTAGAGCAAAAGGACATTCAAAAAGAGTTGGGAACTTGGAGAAGTGAGCAGCCAAGGGAGGGATATGCAGTGAACTCTGCCTGGGAAGGTGAAGAGGGAGTTATGGAAAAGGTCACCTCGTAGTTGGGTCTTGAAAGGCAAGTGGGAACCCAATAGGACGGAAAGAGGAGAGAGGCCCTTCAAGCAGGGGGAAGAGAACATGCAAATCCTGCAAGAGCCTGAGTTGGCTGTAGAATGGTGGGGAGTTCAGGGAGGTGGGAGCACAGGGTAAGTTGGGAGTGGTGGTGCAAGATATTAACAAGACTGTCTAGTGCCAGACTGGGGGAGACTTTGTCCATAATCCCCAATAATTAGAAAGTTGTGTAGGGGGTTAGAGGCCAAGTTTAAAGCTTGGAAAAGCAGCTGAGTGGAATGTGATGGGGGAGCTTATCAAGGATAGGCAAAAAGACTGACAAGAGGAAGCTCGACGGAATTGGAAACCATAAATTTATAGTGGTGTCATTGGCAGAGTTTATCCAGATGTGCTGGCTGGGTGAGTGTAGAAGGAAAGAAGCCCCGTGCAATTGACCTAGGGTTGAGGAATTTTGTGGGGGATGAAGAGGAAGGATGAAGATGAGGGAGCTGGGGAGGGGGTTCACAGAGCAGTCATAGAGGTAGGTCTAGACTGGGAGACAACTTAGCAACCTCCCATTGGGTCTCACCTTGAGCCCAGCTGAGCCCAGGGGAATACAGATGTGGCCAGAAAAGTGCCCCACATCCTCCTTCCCACCACCTCAGGGTGGGTCTCATCATTTCTGACCCAAGCTATTGTACCAATTTCCCAAGAGGTTCCTACCTCTTCCAATGCCTCTACCATAAGAACAACCAAGCGTAGACTTCAGTTTCTAAAGAGAGAAGAGTAAAAGCTGAAGCCTGGTGATGGGTGAAAGAAGGCACCACTGGCAGGAACTTGCAAGACTAAGATGCACTGGTTTGTGGGGAGCACAGGTGAGCCCCTGATGAACTCACTTCTGTCTCCTCTCACTCACCGCTGCAGCCACACTGGTCTGCTCTATGCTCCTTCAGCACTTCTAGCTCATGCTTATTTCAGGGTCTTTGCATGGTGCCTGCAATGCTTCCCCCTCAGATAGATGTGTCCCTTCTCATCATGTAGGCCTCTGCGTGAATGTCAGGTCTCCAGGGAGGCCCTCCCTGACCATGCATGCTGATGCAGCCCCACTCAGGGGCTCTGTTTTGCAGCTCTCACCACCCGAAGTTTTTAATTAGGCATTTCTATGTATACTGCGTGTTTCCCCCATTAGAATGTAGGCACCACAGGGGCAGGGACTGTGTGACTGGAGCAGAGTAAGTGCTCAAGAAAGTGGTTAAATAAGTAGATGATTTGATAAGACGCGTGGTTTGGGTTGTCTGGGGGAAATTCAGGTGAAATAGCTCAGGGCCGGTGAGTGAGTGAGAATATGCACTTACAGGAAAGAGAATAGGGGCATCGAGGTTACACATGTAGAGCAAACAGAGTTGGAGGTGGTGAATAAGGGAAGTTTGAAGGCCAGTGATAGGGAATGTCTGGGCCATGTCTAGGGAAAGAGTCCCGAAGACAGGGACTATTTGGGGAGGGACTTGAATGGTGGAGTGGAGGGAAGAGAGACCTTATAAAATTGTATGCCCCGGAGTTGTGGGAACTTTTCCCTGCTGTTCTGGGTGTGAACTGTGGGTGAGCAGGAAGAGGCAGTGGGATATGTTTGTGGGGTCCATCCCTGTTTGTCAGTGTGTGGGGAAGGTTGGGGCAGAGTAGGGTGCTGTATGGTGGGCGCTGTCTGGCTCCAGGGGCTTATATGGGTAAAGTCTTGGGAATGCCAGCTCTGCGCTTTAGGGAAAGTCATGAGGGAGCTCTGACAGGTGTCTGGCTTGGCCTAGGTATGCACCTGTGGGCATCCTGTTCCTGATCGCTGGGAAGATCCTAGAGATGGAGGACATGGCCGTCCTGGGGGGTCAGCTGGGCATGTACACGCTGACCGTCATTGTGGGCTTGTTCCTCCATGCTGGTGGTGTCCTGCCCCTCATCTACTTCCTCATCACCCACCGGAACCCCTTCCCCTTCATCGGGGGTATGCTGCAGGCCCTCATCACTGCTATGGGCACGTCTTCCAGGTATGGCTTCATCCCTCATCCCCGGTACTTTTCTGAGGTTCACTGTGGTTCACAAGCTCTCCTAGGAGTCCTGCCCCTCCTCCCCCTACTGAACCTTGTCTGAGCTGTGCGGTAATGTCAGTGGCTCATGAAAGTCTGTAGGTCAGTTGACACCTGGGTGCCGATCTTTGTCCCGGGCTGGCTCTCCTGACCTGTTTTCCACATTTTCTTTTTCTCTGTTTTATATGGAGGAACCAGCTGCCAATTTTGAGGTTAGGACTAAGGTTCCAACATGCCCCATATTCTCTCATTTTCTAGCTCAGAGTCTCATTTCCCCTTGAGATGGTCTCTGGGAGCTCACTTGGCTTTTTTCTCCTTTTTTTTTTTTTTTGTGGTTTTATGGGGTTGATAAAGAGCTTCCCTTTTCCCCATCATCCAAATTCAAAAGTTTGAGAAGTATCACAAGAGCCAACTGGACGGAAGAATAATATTATTGTTATTGCTCATAATGCTGCCTGGAGAATGTGCCTTTTGGTCTTTGGCCAATAGGATTGGTGCCATTGTAGCCAGGAATGAAACTCACCTGATCACCACAGGGCTGGATCCCCAGATGCCTTCTCTGTGGGGCCAGGCTTCTCACTGCATGACATCAAGCTGACCAGGCAGAGCACATGTTTCGTGGACAGGCCAACTCCAAGTGAGATGTCCACTCCTTCAACTAAACTCACCAATCAGGTTGCTCTTCCCCTGCTGGGGAGTGGTGGGGGGAGAGACCAGGAGGGTTAGTGTAGCTGAGGTTGCTCCCTGAGCTACAGAAATGGGGATTAGGGGTCCATGTAATACTTCTCTCTCAACCCTGAGGGTGTGGGAGGTCAGCAGACCCCTAGTCCCTTCCTTTCTAGGAGTGGAAAGGTCATTAGTGGCATGAACAAGTGTCTAGTAATTAGCCTTAAACTATTGGCTTTAAGTGGGTCAAAGAGACCTTCAACCTGGGGGACCACCATTGCTGTGTGCTTCTTGCATCATGAGGAGCCCTTCTTCCCTGTGCACAGTTACCATCCTCTGAAATGTTATACACCCACCATCTTCCCTTGCTCTGGCTCCCACCTGGTCTCCCAGTGTTCTCAGCAGAATCCCTCCTTCAGTCCATGGCTGCTCCAGCCCCACCCTGCCACCCCCTGTTCTCAGCCTCCAGGGCTCTCTCCCCTAGCTCTGCAACACTACCCATCACCTTCCGCTGCTTGGAGGAGGGCCTGGGTGTGGACCGACGCATCACCAGGTTCGTGCTGCCCGTGGGGGCCACCGTCAACATGGACGGGACTGCCCTGTATGAGGCCCTGGCTGCCATCTTCATCGCCCAAGTCAACAACTATGAGCTTAACCTGGGCCAGATAACGACCATCAGGTGAGACGGTCTTGGGGGGGGCGGGATCTGCCAGCAGGTGAGACCTAAGAAGTCATTAGCTTGGCTAGGGGTGGAAGAAGCCTCAGCTTGAGGTCAAGGGAGGCTTTGAATGTTGGAGGGAGGATGTGGGAAGAGCCCAGCCTCCCATTCCAAATGAGGCTAAAGGTAAGACTTTGCAACCTGAGGCTATTGGGAGCTGCCAGATGTTTCAGTCCCATCTTCTCTCACATGCTATGGTGGGAGATCCCTTTGCCCCGTGTTTTCCAAAGTATGGCTGGTGCGTCCTAAGAACCTGAGGCTCTTATAAGAAGGATGGATCCCTGGGTCTCATCACCCAGAGGTTCCAATGTGGTCATTATAAATATAACAGCAAATATCACCTCCTTCAGGTCTTTGCTCCAGTGTCACCTGCGCAGGGGAGTGTTCCCTGAATATTTTATTTAAAATTGCATGGTTTGGACTTTCACAGGCCGAACCATTTCTCTGTTGCACCATCTGCCTTAGTATGTTTTAAGTCCTCATCTTCCTTATTCTCTGCCTCCCCTACTAGAATGTAAGCTCTGTTTGGGCAGGGTTTTCTTCTAAGGGAGTTTCTGCTAGGTGTCTAGCATGTAGTAGATGCTCAATAAATATGGGTTGAAAGAATACATTTATTGAAGGCTGCTTTTTATTTTCAGGCACTTAATTTAAGATGTCCCAGGGAACCACCTCTTCCCTTCTTTTGTGCCCTTTCTCACTCTCTTCCTCATCTTCTCCTTCCCACCTCCTGCCTCCCTGTGTTCTTTGTCCATGTACAGTATCACGGCGACAGCAGCCAGCATTGGGGCTGCTGGGATCCCCCAGGCAGGTCTGGTCACCATGGTCATTGTGCTCACATCGGTCGGCCTGCCCACTGAAGACATCACGCTGATCATAGCTGTGGACTGGTTCCTGTGAGTGTTCTTCAGACCCTGGTGCTATCTTTCCTCAAACCCCCTGTTTTCCTTGTGAGACCCCCAGCCTGCGGGCCCTCATTCCAGCAAGGACATAGAGTTCTAGAATTTTAGAGTACAAGGTGAGCCTTGGAGAGTACTCCAAACCATGGCCTGTAGATCCCAAATTCCATAGAGTTAACCTTGGGAAGTAGGATGGGGAGGAGATGAGCAAGGGGGGCTTTACATATGAGCCTGAACAGCTGTTGTACCTGCTTTATGGAGAAGTCACAAAAAGGCGATCTGTGGGACAGAGCTGGCGATCTGTGGGACGGATCCGTGGGACAGAGCTTGCAAGTTTTTGTTGTTGTTGGTTTATGTTTTTAATTCTCAACTTTGAAAAACAGGAGGTTTACATTTAAAAAATCTGGACTTTCCTCCCCATTTGGGAGCTGTCAGGTGGACCCGAGTCCCATTTAGACAGTCTCCAGTCTGGCCTGATTTACTCACGGTGGTTATCTTCCTCATCCTGTATGCTGTTCAGCCCACAACCCCTAATTTTCTCTATGAGATGTTTACATCCTTAAAAAGAAAGAATTGCATTGCTAAGATAACATGTGAGCCTATCAGAGTTGATCCAACCTGCATCTGTTAGGAGGGGAAGCTGAGGACATCAAAGGAGAGGCACCTGCTTGAGGTTATGTGCTCGTGGATAGAACATGAGTCCCAACACCCAGGCACAAGGAACCCCCCACCCTGCTGCACCCTCTCCTCCATGAACCCTTCAAACCTCAGCTAACAGTGGCTTCTCTCTCCCCACCCTTCCCCAGTGACCGACTTCGCACAATGACCAATGTCCTGGGGGACTCTATTGGAGCAGCCGTCATTGAGCATTTGTCTCAGCGGGAGCTGGAGCTGCAGGAAGCCGAGCTCACCCTCCCCAGCCTGGGGAAGCCCTACAAGTCACTCATGGCACAAGAGAAGGGGGCGTCCAGGGGACGGGGAGGCAACGAGAGTGCCATGTGAGGGACCCCCAGCTCTGCCTCCCAGAGAGGAGGGAATGGGGCTGGGGTGGGGGGCTCCTAGGGAAGACCTGCTGCCCGAATGAGTGTGCACTGAACACACATGTTCTGTCTGGCTTGTTTGGTGGAAACCGAGATAAAGGAGCAGGAACGAAAGGATGTCGAAGGCCTCCATTTCTCTCTGAATGCATGGGGAGAACTTGTGGAGGGCAGTGAGCAAGGCGGGGAGGAAACTGGGACGGAGGGTAAGGGCATCTTCAGGTCCCACAAGCTGAGGGGTCAGCTCATGTTATTTATTTTCTCAAAGAGCGGTGGAATTGAAGGAGGTAAAGGAAAACCACCATTTATTATAAATAAAACAATGTTCATGACCTCTGTGTTGGGGGTCCCCAAGACCTTCAGTGATTTGCTAGAAGGACTCGTGGAACTCGGAAAAGCTGTAATGCTCACATTTATGACTTACTGCAGTGAAAGGATACAGATTAAAATCTGCAAGGACAAAAGTTGCCTGGAGCAGGGTCCAGAAGACACCAGATGTGGGCTTCCAATTGTCCCCTCTTTGTGGAATCCCATGGATGCCCTTAATTCTCTCAGCAATGATGTGTGACAACACGTATGAATACTGCCAGCCAAGGAAGCTCACCTGAGCCTTGGTGTCCAGGATTTTTATTGAGGGTCTGTCTTGTAGGCATGGAGTGCTTCACTATTCATTCTTTAGCCCCCACAGAAGTCAAATGAATATAGTATTGCCCAGGGCCCCAGGTGAACAAAAACAGTCATTCACCACAAATTACTTGTCAGCCTAGATGACCTGGCATGGCTCAGGACCCCAGGTTACAAAGACACTTTTATCAGGGAGGGTATTCCAAGGACTTGGATTATTTCCCAGGTGCCAGTCAAGGGCAAGTCCTTTCTCTGGAATATTCAGGCTTTGAGTACCCCTAGCCTTCCAAGTTCACCCTTTACTTCGTACACACATGGCTGGGAATAGAGGAAGCAGCTTGCCATGGGGATGAGTAGCTGCATCTTGTAGTCCCAACTCTTGACCCCTGAAACCAGTTGGCTCAGATACCCTCATGCTGGCCCCAGGAAGCTCTGTGTCTCCTTACTACACAGGCAAGCCTAATGAACTAGGTGGGACATTAAATGAGACCTTAATAAAACCTTGGGGGAAAACACAAGTAAATAGAGAGTAACATGATTCCAGATGTCATGGGTATAACTGAACTCTATAACCCTTTTGTCTGGGAAACACATTAGCTTTTTCTTTTTTTTTATTAAAAAAAATTTTTTTTAAATTTTATTATGTTAATCACCATACATTACATCATTAGTTTTTGATGTAGTGTTCCATGATTCATTGTTTGTGTATAACACCCAGTGCTCCATTCAATATGTGCCCTCCTTAATACCTGTCACCAGGCTAAACCATCCCCCCACCCCCCCTCCTCTCTAGAAGCCTCAGTTTGTTTCTTGGAGTCCATAGTCTCTCATGGTTCATTGCCCCCTCCGATTTCCCCCCCTTCATTTTTCCTTTCCTACTATCTTCTTCTTCTTCTTCTTTTTTTTAACTTATTATGTATTATTTGTTTCAGAGGTACAGGTCTGTGATTCATCAGTCTTAAACAATTCACAATAGCTCACCATAAACATTAGCTTTTTCTAAATCAAATTAACTTCACTTGAGCACCTACCTCTCTCAAGGGGGAAGGGACCTTCAAGTACAGGTATGTTTGGGGATGCCTCCTCCCCCATCATTTAGGATCCTAAGAGAACCCTTGGGCATACGCAATTGAGAGAACTTGGAAGAAGGGATCCAAGAATTCTTTAACTTATTTGCAGTCACCATGGAAACATTTGTGTCAGAGATTGGAAAAGTCCATGCAAAGGCAAGAAGGTTATAAAACATCCTACTCCACATTTGACTCTGGGGAGCTTTGCCTGGGATCCCAGTCTCAAACCAGAATTTCTGCCTCTAGCCCATAATCAATGGTCTGTGTCTGCAGAAAGCTCCTTGTGGGAGCAGGGTATATTAGTTTGCTAGGGCTGCCATGACAAAGTGCCATAGACTGGGTGGCTTAAACAAGGAATTTATTTTCTCAGTTTTGGAGGCAAATCTTTGACTTGATTCCATTCACATAACCTCAGAAAACATCTCTCTAAATGAGTTTGCAAGGCAACATTTCCCAGTTAGGCACACATCCTATCACCTTGATGATATCCATTAAACACATGAGATTTGATTTATTTTTTAAGAAATCCAAACCATCACTGAAGATTACTGAGAAAATAGCAGGTTCTATTAATATCAAGTTAAAATGACTAGTTACAAAATGAAAAAAGGAATCCATGGAACATGAAGAAAAATAGAGGGCAGAGAAGAACCAAGGCAACTCTTGCTTGGAAACATGTAAAATTAGGAAAAATAAAAATATTGCATGAAGGAAACTAAGATTTGTGGTCCTCAGTATTGTGTGCCTAGCTACTCAGGAGAATCCTGTAATGGTCCCAACGCTGAAAGGCACCACCCTCCTGAGGAGCGTGCCCAGGGCCCCCTTCTTGTCCTTGTTCCTCAAGCTGTAGATGAAGGGGTTCAGCATGGGAGTGACAATGGTGTACATCACCGAGGCCACCAGACTCATCCTAGTGGATGAAGTTGCTGCAGAACTGAGGTCGACCCCAAGCCCTGTGCCATAACATAGAACAAGGAGACCACCGAGAGGTGAGACCCACACCTGGAAAAGGCTTTGTATTTGCCCCTGGCTGATGAAATTCTCAGGATGGAGGAGGAAATCTGAGAATAAGAAAAGACACCTGGGACAACAGTCACAAAATACATCACTAAGTTATTAATGAGGGTGTCAGAACAGGCAAGCTTCAGGACTTCAGGAAGATCACAAAAAAAGTGTGGGATTCCCATGTCTGTGCAGAAGGACAGCCTCAAGAGGGTCAAGGTTTCCAACAGGGAGCCCATGACACTGATGCACCAGGATCCCAGGGCCAGCAGCTCACAGAGCTGGGGGTTCATGATGACCGAGTAATGCAGGGGCTGACAGATGGCCACAAAGAGATCATAGGCCATCATGGTCAGGAGTAAATTGTCCAGGCATCCAAACACAATGAAAAAAAATATCTGACTGAGACATCCTTCATATGTTATGGCTTTGCTGTGAGTCTGGATGTTCTGGAGCATCTTGGGGACGGTGGTGGAGGTGAAACAGATATTAGCAAAAGACAGGTTGGAGAGGAAGAAGTACATGGGCGTGTGGAGGTGGGAGTCTGAGCAGATGGCCAGGATGATGAGCAGGTTCCCAGTGAATGTGACCAGATATATGGACAGAAACAACCCAAAGAAGAAAGCCTTCAGGTCCAGGTCCTCTGTGAATCCCCAGAGGAGAAAATTCCCAACTCCTGTTTGGTTTCCTCTTTCCATGTGGCTACTGGGTTTGCCCAGAAGGAGGGGAAAAGCAACACAAGATTAACTCCAAATAAGCATTCCCCAGAATGATAGAAATTTCCTTAATCCAAACCCAGGGGATTCATGAAGTCATTCATTTGACTAATGATTGGCTTTCTTTGCTGACAAATTGTGGTTACCATCACTACCTGGAAAAATTGTCTCTAAGGTCAGTGGTTTTCAAATCGTGGTCCCTGACTAACGTCATCAGCATCACCTGGGAACCTGTTGGAAATGCACATTTTCAGGCCCACCTGACCTAATGAATCAGATGCTTTAGGTGTGGAGCCAGCACTCTGTGCCTTGATAGGCCCTCCTGGGGACTCTGATGCACATCCAAGTTTGAGGAGCTCTGCTCTATGCTTGTCTGCATCTCTACATAGTCCCTATCCCTGATGTCTGCTCTTGCACTTTCTGCTCAGTGCTTGTGGGAATGGGGAATTCCCTAATGCCAGGCAGATCTTCTAATCTTTGAAAGGTTCTTTCATTTTACTGCCTTTCTGTAATTTCTATATCTTAGCTTGTCTGGACCTTGGGTGTTCCTTCTGCTAAAAAAATTACCAATATTATTATTTTTAATTATCATTTATATTTCATTTATATTATCTGTGTCCCTATATAAATTCAGCAAAAATGGAATTTATAAATATAGTGTCCTAGAGTTTCTTATTTACTTATTTATTTATAAATTTTTAAAATTATTTTCTAAATTCCAGTATAGTTAAAGTACAGGTTTAGATTAGTTTCAGGTGTACAACATAGTGATTCAACAATTCTATACATGTCTCAGTTCTCATTATGGTAAGTGTACTCCCTAATCTCCTTTACCTATTTCACACATCCCTCACCCACCAACCACCAGTTTGTCCTCTATAGTTAAGAGTCTTTTTTGTTTGTCTTTTTTTTTCTTTGTTTTTTAGTGTGTGTGTTTGTGTTTTTAGTTTTTATTTAAAATCTAGTTGGTTCACACACAGTGTAATATTTGTTTCAGGTTGTAAAATTTAGTGATTCAACACTTCCATACAACACCTGGTGCTCATCACAAGTGCCCTCTTTCATCCCCATCACCTGTTTCACCCCTACCCCCGCCCACCTCCCCTCTGCTATCCATCTGTTTGTTCTCTAGAGTTAAGAGTCTATTTCTTGGTTTGTCTCTTTTTTCTCTCCTATGATCGCTTATATTGTTTCTTAAGTTCATATCTGAGTGAAATCATACATTTGTCTTTCTTTGACTGACTGATTTCACCTAGCATAATACCCTCTAGATCCATCCACATTGTTGCAAATGGCAAGATTATATTCTTTGGGGCGCCTGGGTGGCTCAGTCGGTTAAGCGACTGCCTTCGGCTCAGGTCATGATCCTGGAGTCCCAGGATCGAGTCCCGCATCGGGCTCCCTGCTCGGCAGGGAGTCTGCTTCTCCCTCTGACCCTCCTCCCTCTCATGCTCTCTGTCTCTCATTCTCTCTCTCGCAAATAAATAAAAAAAAATCTTAAAAAAAAAAAAAGATTATATTCTTTGTTTTATGGCTGAGCAATATTCCATTGTATATGTATACATCTTCTTTATCCATTCATCTGTCGGTTATAGTGTCCTAGACTTTCTAAATATTGTTTGTCTTCACATAAGTTCATCTTTTATTTCTAGCCTTATCAAAGTATAATTGATTACAAAAAATTGCACATATCTGACATATACATGTT